TTTCGATCTTGGAATAGGTTTCAGGTCAGCAGTTCATATTTCGGCCGGATTTGAAAAGAACGCGCAAAAATCCCCTTATTATAATTAGAGTCCCTTTATACCCAGAGTTAAGACAACTCGATTATCAGCTGACTGGCAGCCGGCCTTGGCTGGCCATGGAGGCCGAAACGAGTGCACCAAAACGAACGATATTGAGGGATAAGGATCAGGAATCCTGCGATGTCTGTCACACAAAAACAACAACATCAACAAATTGATTAATTAAAAAGAAAATGAGATTGGTTTGTGAATAATTTCTTAATCTATTTTCATTTTGGACCGATGGAAATAACAATTTACTCTTGATAAACCAAAATTAGGTAATATTTTCATTATTCTTGTTCACATTCGAGGTACCGCCATCTTGGTGCACTCGTTTCGGCCTCCATGAGCGAGAACCAATCAGAATTGGATTTTTTTTTAGGCCACTTTCAGCCCAACCAAAAGTGAGTTGTCTTAACTCTGGGTATAAAGGGACTCTAATTATAATCGCTCGCTGCTGGGGAAGTAGAAGTGCCTGCATGGCGAGTCAAAACGCCTTCTCTTCCAAGCATATGCAACACGGACATCCACGGAGCCCGAATAGTTGCTGCATGCAGGCCGGCAGGCGGTTTAATGAGATTCGTTAACTGATCGTGAGAGTGCCTCGCCCTTTCTTAATTCCAGCGTTGCCTATTGTGTCGATAAATTAAATCATTACTAATTTTTATCGCGACTTATTCAATAAATTCTTTCCAAGAGCGCAAATCTTCGTTTGCACCTCTGGAATTTTACCGAGGAACGAATGTGGAACTTCAATGGAAAGTCCGAGCTCATATCGACGGTGAAACTACCAAACCACGTATCTCGTTTGCGGTGTTTAAAAATCTACGCTCGAATTTTATTTTTTTTTAAGTAGACCAAATCAATATCATTCCTTGAAATGTTCACAGAATTTTCTCCGCATGAAGAGGAAAAATCACAGAAATTTTCAAGACTACACGTTAAGTAGTTTTTCATTTAAAAAATAAAGTATGACAGGAAGTCTGCGACGTCGCAAACCGAGATACGTGGTTTGGTAGTTTCACCGTCGATATATGGTTCACGACTGGCAGCATAAGAGACTGAAGTTCCTATCCGCTTGATTCTCATTTATGTTATAATCCTAGAAAACTGATTTTTACATTCGAGAAAGTGGTGTAAATGGAATTTAAAATAAGCATTAATAGCTGCTCTCTCATACCTTGCTTTCAAAATTGTATCCCTGGCCAATGTTTTTCTTGATTTCCAGAGACACTTTAAGCTCCGAACAGGAACTTTCATAGACTTGAGAATTGTAAAGCTGTATTCCGTCCTACACGTGGCTTTCTTCCTTTTCATTTTTGTGCAACTTTTGCTGCAAGCACCCACGTACATTCCTGATTTGTTCATTTTCCGATTGGCGTATTCGTATCCATACGTTCAGATTCTGCTGGTGTATGTACATCTTGTCTCACGTCAGTCTCAAGGCGGCCTCGATTGCAAGTCAGGAATACAACGTTCAATTCCAGGTCAGTGCGAGCCTGTTACTACATTTCTCTCCACCTCAATGAAATAAGATAAGGACGATTTGGATCCAAAAATCAGGAAAGTCGATTGGAAACGCTGGGAAGGGAGAATCCCTCCCCCCTTCCTCGCCTGGCTTTTAAAGTTGACCGATTTTCGTCACTGTTGATCAATCTTAGGGCATTCCCGGCTTTTGTCTCTACCAAATAAATCCTCCTCCCCTAAAAAATGGCGACCATGATTCTAATCACCAGCTCCCATTTTCAGCGTGTGTATTGATGGCCAAAGTGCGAGACCACATACCTCCGTTTGCGACGTTGCAGACTTCCTGTCATACTTTATGGTTTCCTTGAGAGACTGGTCGACAAAATTCATCGAAAACTTCCTCGATTATTCTTCTTCATTAGCAGAATATTCTACGATGATTTCAAGATATTAATTCCCCTGGTAAAAATTGGCGATAGGAGCTGCGTTTCAAAATACCATAGGAGTTCTTATAGCCGACTAAAGAAGGCCATTGAAAATCATGTAGCTGGCTGTAGAAAGCGGAGCAAATCATATAGGCGGGCTATACGAAGCTATAAAAAAGTATACAGTCGGGCTATAGTTCCTATCGTTGGGCTTTACACTTTATCGCCATTGGCTATAAAATGCCATAAGAAATTGTGTAGAAATTCGTGCGCTTTGGAAATCGTTAAGTTTGATACGGAACTACCTTAATATTTACAAAACACACATTATATTTTCCTGTAATACGTTTTTCTTTTTTCATCCATTTAAATAATGAGAATAATCTATGCAGACTGTGCAAACATTTCAAAATCATGAGTTGAAAAACGCTGACTCCGCGAGAAAAAATGTTAGAGCCTGATACAAAGCGGAGCGGCGACGCACTGGCGCCTACAAACCTAACAGGGATACTTCACGCATTGCGCAATGCGTGAAGTATCCGCGTTAGGTTTGTAGGCGCCAATGCGCGTTTCGCGCTCTCTGCCCGCCCGCCGCGCCGCAGCGTGCCACGGCGTCTGAAGCAACTATTTCACACCAGAGGTATTGCACAGTATCGTAAGTAATTGAAGGCGCTCCAACATGTTGAGAATGATAGGCATCCTTCAAAAGTACGGAGCTTTCCTCGCACAATAAATCAAGATACTAAGGCACAAAAAGAGAGCGGTAGTCCAAAAGCTAACTAAGTCCTAGTATCCGTATTTAGTAACGTTTAGCATGAACTTTATCGTCTGGCTGTTGCTTAATCGCCATCGGCTATAAAAAGCTATAAGAAATTGAACAGCCGGCTACAGAAGCTTTTGGAAATCTTACAGTTGGCTACAGAAGCTATTGGAAATCTCACAGCCGGCTTTAGGTCTATAGTATTTTGGAACACATATTCTACTGCCAATTTTTACCAGAGGACTTGGTTCTCCTCGAAAAGTAAAATAGAAGCGGACATTTTGAAACATCGTAAAGGAGGTACGTGGTTTTGTACTGTAGCCGTCGAATTATTTGTCATTTTGTGAGCACGCGCTGACGTGCACTCTGTGCGCAGCGAATGGGAAGTTTTCCCGCGCAAAATCAAGAGCTCGGAGTTAAAAACGCAAGGATTTCAATTAGGTACTTAAAATCTTGGTAGATGTACTTGGTGCAGTGTAAAAATGTTGAACGAGCATATTCACCGCATACACACTCAGTGCTATACTGCCGTGCTAAGAAAAAACGCCGTACGTATATTCAGGGGGGTGCCAAATTTCCTCTTAGAAAACGTACTTATTTTTGAAAAAGTCATAAATATTTTGCTTGAAATTTTTAGTGTATTTAGATCAAGTTAAGAACAGAACTCTCCAAAAATTGGAAGAAAAATATTTACAAATTGTCCCGAATATTTGTGATTTGTCATAGGAAATTTGGCAACGACTAAAAGCTCGTGCTATATTTTTTCCTAGCACGGCAGTATAGGCGAAAACCAATACGGATGGTCCCAGCCAGAAATTCAGAGCGCTACTTCAAATTAATTGCATTTCTATGGGAAGGATGGTCCCCATCTCATTGCCATAATCAGGGTAATGTAATCTACAAACACATTCGACACATTTTGAAATTTGAATTGAAATTTCTGTTCTGCTCGATTGATTAAAATTTGGACACCTACATATGCATTGACTATCCAGTTGCTCTGGAGACCCAATAGCAGCAGTGATCGCGATAAGTTGCGATTTGATTGGAGAACGTATCGCGATGTTATCGACGCTGATTAATGGCAATGGAAGTGAATGAAAAATTGCGATTTCATCACATAAATTTGCAATAAAATCAAGATTTTATTGACGGCGATTTACCGCAATATTATCGGACAAGAAATTGTGATAAATTGAGATAAAATTTCGATTTCATAGAAAATAAATAAATTTGCGACAAGATCGAGGATAATCGCTCAGAAATATGTTGATGATCCCAAGGCCGAATCTAGGGAATGGCCACAAGGGCCGCGGCCCATGATGGTAAATTTAGGGGGCGGCAAATATTGTAATTTTTTTAAATATAAGTACATAAAAAGTCGGATTCAGAAAACAAATTACAGACGAGAAAAGGTGACCAAATCTCTCATTTCCTGAGAGTATATTGATTTCTAATTTTGTCGTCTTTCTTTAATTAGTCGAGTTGAAAGAGAAACCAAACTCGCAATTTAGCCTGGAACGGCGCAGCGCTGAGAGCAATGAAGACGAGGACTTGAGATGAAAAGGAGAAACCCTCGGCGCGGCGGTCGGCATGTAACACATATCAGCGCCTACAAGACTGCATGAATACTTCACGCATTGCGTCAAACACAGTGCGGTTAGCGCGAAACGCATAGCGCCTACAAGACTGCATGAATACTTCACGCATTGCGTCAATCACTGTGCGGTCAGCAGCGGTCGGCGTGAAAGGCAAAGCGCCTACAAGACTGTAGGAATACTTTACGAATTGCGCCAAACCCATTGCGGTCAGCGCGGCGCAGCGGCGGAAGTTAAAATTATTAAATCACATTTATGTTTGTTCTTTCATAATTTTTTTCGTTCATTTTTTCAAATAGAAGGCCTCGTCTACACAGAGATAGGTATACGGAACTTAACTTTTGCGCAAAGTTTTGTGAACTTTTGCTAGTAGTGTTGACAGGGGTTTCGCAAATAATGTGTCCAACAAGAATGAACGCGTCTAATGCACCCCTCTCCCTGTGGCATGTTCACTTAATGGTTTTTAATGATGTTTCAAAACGAATGATGAGGGGGCGGCAAAATACAGGCGGCCCATGGGCGACAAGTTGGTAAATCCGGCCCTGGATGATCCTGGCGATTTTTTCGCCAAAAAATCCTGAAATAATCGCCACTTGATTTCAAAAATGGCGATTTTGCTGCTACTACCTGCTTGATCAACAAATTCACTCATTCAAGCGTTGTTTCTCAGAAAATGATGGCGAGGCGAAAAGCCGAGGAGCTGGAGCCATTTCGTCTCCTGTGGTTGGAGTTGAGCAGCTTGATGCGGGAGTCAGGAAACCTTTACCACAACACTACATCGCTGGATAATTTTGTGCCAATCATGGTGGGACTGATTTTGCATTTATACCGACTGATCCTCGTGTTCCCGAAAAGAGCGGTGCGAGCTGAATGGCAAAAATTTGCACTTGAGGTCTTCTTAATTCTGTACAGACACTTGTACTTTTTATTGGTGCTCTATGACCACGGTGAAACTATTACCAATCAAGTGAGTACGATTCATTGTACACTAAATTAGGGTGGGTCGAACCTCAACACTAAATTTTAAACACACCTTCACATTAAATGTTAAGGTGGCTATGACCAATGTTATAAATGAGATGTGTCAATGCGTTAAGCAGCATTGGATTAAGATTCTCCAGATAGATCCTCACATCTCTGCCAATGCTCCAAGATGAGGATAAAGTTTTGTTCTGAATTTCTATGAAAATTATGAACTAACGTTTCGTCTGTTTTCTGTTTCCTGATGCATAAAGTGCATAGAAGAGATACAAATCAAGGTTAATCTCTATAAACCTGCCAAGAATCGGAAAAAATTCGTCTTCTCGGTGAGTTTGCAAGGATCACTATATATATCTCTCTCTAACCTGAACAGCGAAATCCGGAATTCGAAGTATGAAAAGCGGACCATAATGTCCATTTTTTTTTCTTTTTTTTTTTCTTAAATCAACTCATGATATAATTTCAAGCACTTCTCATAGAATGACTTTTTCCCATAAATCGCACCATTTTCAAGAAAATCGATGATTAAACTCGTCGTATACCGACCTACGTCATCAAAAAAAAGTCCAAGATGCCCGGAATGCAAACACCTCCTTTTTTTCGCTATGGGCCTCAAGCTCCCCTAGAAAAACGACTCCTAACAATTTCCTAACCTTAATCTCAATGACGGGGAAGGGGGGCATGGGGGGTGTCGGGGGAAATGGCATACCCCTCGTGTACATAGGGGGGGGGGGGGGTGCGAGAAGCCTTCCCCGGAAAATTTTGAAAAATTGACTGCTTTTTAGATCAAGGTTTCTACTATATCAAACAGGCTGGCCAAAAATCAGTATTTTTCAGTACGTTCCCAAGAAATTCAGTACCTTCTCAACAGAAAAATTCAGTGCTTTTTCAATACCTTCAACTAACGAAATTCGAAAAATTTCACAAATTTGAATTTCCCGCTCAAATTGCGACAACAATGAAAAATTCCGGACTTTCTTGCAAAATTTCCACACTTTTTCAGTACTTCCGGACCGCCCTTGAAAAATTAGTACTATTTCCGGACTTGTAGACACCCTGTAGATGTATTTACCATAATGGAAATTTTCATTAAAAACTTTGTGATTTTCCCTCCTTTTTCCTTATTTTGCAAATTTTACTATTTCAAATTCTAGTGAGGTAAGAAGCAGACTCCCTCAGTAGGTAGCTACACCCAAAAAAGAAACCCTTCGGAGGGAATTACTAAAGGACAGGGGATCTCCATATTTTACTTTTTATAAATAAAGAAAACTGCAAACTAAGCATCAAATGCACAGCATTATTAGGACTAAATTTTGCATTTTGGAACTATAAATTCTAGCCCGGTTTAAAAACGATGTACAGGCCATTAGTTTCTCTATGCACATAAGTGTTTTTCCAGAAGAGCCAGAATTTATAGTTCCAAATTGCAAAATGCAGTCCAGTCTGTTAAGTCTTGAAGGCTAAAATAACGTGAGCCCACCCATCATTCACACTGGTAAAAAAGTTCTCCTCAGATAAAGTCCATTAATTCATGTGAATCAAAATTTGAAAGATGAAAAAATCCTACCCACTTTGATGACCTCTTTCTCGCTCTTTTTCTTTTGGTCAAAAATGTTGAGAAAAACTGTTTTTGGGAAAGGCTGAATTCAATTTTGAAAGTCTATCCTTAACAACTTAGGAACGAAAAAAATTTCTCCTATTTTTCCAATATGACTTGTCATTCCTTGTCATGAAAATTAAAAGGAAATATTGCGAACAATGAGGCCACAGTGCAGTTCTCTCCCAACACAAGGAAAATCAGATTGCAATATCTTTTGACTCCAGGTTACAAATATCAACTGAGGCATTGAGAGTTATGTTAATTTTATATTTTCACAGGAAAGAGTTTTTTTCTACTCACTCATGAATCTTAAACCTGTACTTACTGTGCATGGATATTTTAAGTTAAAACGTTCTACTTTCACATCAGTAAGTATACATACTTGAATTAGTGGGTTACTTAAAATGCATTTGTCAAATTTTAAAAATGCTATTCAAATTTTTCATCTGGCCAAAAAGGCTTGGCATTATATGCCTGGTTAATATGCATATTGACAGCGTAAGTCCGCAACCACATATCTCGTTTGCGGTGTTTGTAAATCTCCACTCATATTTTATTTTTTTAACAGAGAACAAATCGACATCATTCCTTTGGTTTTTTCCTTGAAGTTTTTGCAGAATTTTCTTGGTACTGGGAAGAAAAATCACCGCAGTTTTTAAGAATTGCCGTTGAGTAGTTTTTAATTTAAAAAATAAAGTATGACAGGAAGCCTGCGCCGCCGCAAATCGAAATACATGGTTGCGGACTTACACCGATGATATGCTTTAAAATTACCAGTGCCCTTCATTCCCATCATTATCGCTTTTACAAATTTTTTCACAATATTTTTTTAATACGCATACTTTTTCAAAGCTGCCTCACACTTCTCTCATTCACTTTGGACTTTAATTAAATAGATTCAATTTTCCTTCAGTATCGATCATAAAAAAGAAACAAAGAACTTTGATCTTTGGAGTCTCTTTTTACTGTCCCTCCCAAAATTAGATGTCAAGCATGAATAAACTCAAAATCAATGAGCTGATTGTCACGTATTACGCAACTTTTTCCTCTAAATTTGCCCGAGGACGGATTTTTTGTCTATCCTTTTCTCCCTCATTTCTTCTGACTCACTTTATGTTTCTCCATGACAAGCGTTTGAAGGCCTTAAGCCAATGTTTGCATACAATTAGATGCACCATCTCATTTCTTTAATATTTTTTTTATTGGTACACCAGGTGGCCGATGCAACACAGCCTAAAAGGTCCTTTTCTGGCTAAATGGCTTTTCTGTGCCCTAAATATGAACGAGAAAAACTTACTTTGCGTTTATCATTTCAGCTATGACTACATGTCCTCTCTTAGGCTCTCGCAAGTCATCTTAACATATTTTACCAAGTGCAGAATCTCCATTTATTGTAATCTGGTGTGGAGAATAAAGTGCATATCAAATTCATCCAAGAAAATTCAGTGTTGTCCTTCCAAAACTACTGACCCAAAAATTAACTTCAACTTTTTGCTCTCTCACGATTATTTCGAATGCTTTCTCAAACAGAACCATTAGATGTTTCCAGTTCGTCTAATGTGACAGAGTGCCTTTAATATGCTGTCCTACGTCATAACGCGACGAGGTACCAAAACCAGTGTCAGCTATCCATCATCATTTTAAATGAAACACTGATAAGGCCGTTTTAGCTTACTAGTTCCAAAATCAAACTTGAATGTCATACCTCCTCAAAAATTGATTTAAAATGTCAGACTAAAATCTAGGAGATCAAACATTTTCTTGAAAGTTTAACATCAGAAGATTAAGGCAGATCTTGAAAAGGGGAGATAGGTTTCAATAATTTCGGGGTCTTATCGATTTTTCTTGCAGATGGTGGCTACGATTTTTACATATCTGGTGGTCTTGATACAAATTAAGCTTCGAATTGGCCCAGAACAGTTGGTGCAAGAGAACAACGACAAGTTTTCCATTGTGTTGCAAGGCTGAGAGCTACATAATTTTATTTTTAAACATGGAACTCATACTTTTCTATAAGGGAGGAACATCTTTGATGGTCTGTGATATTTCATTTGCACTTAACTGCGGAAACGTCTTTGTGAGTTTCATACAAGCACCCACTTACACGCTGCCAAACTTCTGCTACACAAGATACGTTTCAAATCTTGTAAAGGTAAAAATATTTAAAAATGGTTTAAATAAATGCAAATATTTATGAGAGCCCAGTTTGTGAAAGGGGGGGGGTTCTAAGAAACAAAGCAGAATGATATTAAAATCTTTTTAACCGTTTTATTAAAGCGAGAGACGTTATTCATTACAAATCACAAAAGTAAATCACCTAAAAATTATTTTTACCACTTCACAAATATGTTTTCATTGGTTGTTATTACTTCTGCTAGCTTTTAGTTCTATTAAAACAATCATGGAATGTTATTTGGATTTAAAAAAACAAGAGATGGGGGTACATAGGGGTACAAGGCTTACATATCATCATAGGAGGAGAGGATCTTGCAAAAACTAAAATGAGCGGAGTAATACTTTAGGTAAGAGAGTAACTGAGAACATGAACTGTACACGAATAGTGCAAGTTGTCAACACACTGAAAAGAAAAAAAAGCGATAAAAATAGATGATGATCTAAGTATTCTGATCCAGAAAAAATGCAAAAATCTTTGACTCGCTGAAAAGACCACTTCACGGCTAATTTTACTTTAATAGAATGTAAAATTAGCAGCATGCAGTTAAAACAGCAAAATAGGATTTGTACACACCTTTTCGACAATCTTCTTATCCAATGTACACCATTGTCTTGGATCTTCTAAAACAAGCGGAATTTCATTCCAGTCACGTAAAATAATGAAAGAATAAAGACATCAATGTAAACTGTACTAAATTACAATAAATAGTCATATGGAAGTGAGTACATTGCCTTTATGACTTAAAAGCCAAGCATGAATCCTATCTGGAAAAAAGCTAAGACAAGTGAAGTGCAAACAATTCATTCAATGCTACAGCAAAAAAGGAAAATTAATTTGTACTGCAACCCCAATCACCGATTAGCAAAAGATACTGATTGCTTTAGTAGCTGGTTGGATTCTCAAAAAGACAAGAAACTAATTTTGGAAACCGGTAAATAACCAGTAATTAAGCTGCACGATTTGTCTCCGAAGTAAAACAAGCATATTTCATACATAATGCATGTATTTTTGATTGCAGATTTGAAGAGGGAGGCCTTTCAGCTTTGTCTGGACTTACAAAATTGGTCAGGAGGCTGCACTGTTAGATTTAATGTAACGTACAGAATTAAGGTGAGTTAACTTTGCACGTTAGAGTTGAAACAACGAAAAATTATTGAGTCTACATACTAGCACTCCATCGGGAAGAGACATTTTTTTATTGAATTTTGCATTATTCAAATGGATATGATTCAAAGACCCAAATTTTAGCTTCAGAATGAATTTGTATTGCTGATTTTTTTTGCATGTTCTACTGATGTTCAGAAAAGTAAAAGAAATCAAATTTTCCATGCAATATGTTCGTGTTGGCATTGGGTTTTTCCTTGAAGTGCATGATTCAGATTTTGAAAATTTCAAGGCAAAATGATACTTATGTTTGCTACATATAAGTAATTTTGATCATTTTCAGAGAGAAACATTGATACAATGGATGAAGAATGAAGTGAAATAATAAAAAATCAAAATGCACAGAAGCATGGATCTGCATCAAAATAAAAATCTGATATGCATAAAAATATGTTTAACAATTAACTTGACTTTCAACAACTTTACGATTAATTAAGGGTTTACTTGGACAACAAGTTTTCAGAATATATACAATAAAATACTACTGGTGTTAAGTACCAGAATTGGTTTGTAGTTGATTTTAAGCAGAATAGATTAATGTAGACTTTCTTTGCAATCAAAGAGAAGCAGATGTAAAATTGTGGATCACTAAAAAAGTAGAAAAAGTTTGCTCAAGTAAATTGAAGCTGAAATAAATACCCTTTAAGCACTAAAAAGAGAAAATGATAATACAATTCACACCCAATTTATGAGATGATGCCAGTTTACAAGGCTTCTAAATTCACAAGCCTTTTTATAATTCTGTAATCTACTGGATAATTTTTTTCTTCTGTCGTTTACTGAAGATGTTATCTCACAACACAGTTGCAGGTCTCTTGGATTTCAAAACTTCTCTTACTTGACCCTATGAAGTTACAACTGAAAATTAATGGGATCATAGCATCTACAATTACAATGTGAAAATGTGGATTAAACATCATTTAGCAAATAAGGATCTAACATCATCATGAGTTTGAGAAATAAACTCATAAGAAATTGTTCAGTACTGATAATACATGATAAAAGTGAAATCAGAGGAGAACAGAAAGGCTAAAACACTTGAAAGGGATTACTTAAACTTCATGAAATACTGAAACCGCGTTAATTCTCTTGTACATACATGCTTCTTGCTAAACGTGATTTTTGGTCATACTTTTTAGCAAAACAGAATTTTCTATTAAAAAAATTGCAAGTAAAAATGCTCTAATTATTAAAGCTAAGCCTCAGCTATTTGACGCAAAGTTTCCTTTTACAGCAAAGCTTTAACCTCTCGAACTCGGGCTGCGTATGATAGCATTTAGATTGAAACTGTACCTGAAATATGTAGATATTCTTTTGCCTTTTCCAAAAATTCCCGATTTAGCTGGATCCCTACTGCTAGGTGACATCAATTTAAGCTTAGGAAAAATTCCAATTTTTAATCAAGGACTATTTCTGGGCCAAGATAAGTTGAAAAGGCTAGAAAAAAACAATTTTCAAGAAACTTCATAATGCTGTGTTGAGTTTCTTACAGTAAAGACTACATTTAAATTCATGAGGTTGATACAATTTTTTGAGAAGTCCACTTATATGTTTTCATTTCATCCACCAATCTTGCAAACGATTTGAGATTTATCATTGATGAAAAATATAAGTATTTTACAGAGAATCTTTTACAATGATATCCAGATAACTTTTGGGTGTGGTGAGGTTGGTGAAAAACATTTGATGTGTTAATATACTCAGGGTCTAAAATTATAAAAACACAAACAAACAGTATGGATGGAAATGAGAAAAATTAACGGAGAGGGTGAAACTAAAACATTCAAGTTTATGATTTACAGTTTTACACACATTAGACTAACACAATAAATTTGTTACGTGCTTTAATATGAAGTGTAACCGATAAAATAAGTTATTTATAATACTTACACAAAATAAAAATTAGAGGCTTAAACAATATAAAAAAAATATATACTTAATACTGTGTATGTATATTTATAATTATAATACTTAAATTTTTTTCAAACTTGTTTTTTGTTCTATTTTATCCTTTTTTTACATTTTCGTCTTTTTTAAATAAAATACTTGTGTTAAGATCCAAAACCAAGATAAAATTAAAATGGCACAAAAAACTAATGAGTAGAAAATATTGTAACAAATTAGTACAAAATAAACGATAATAAGTTTTCGTAAATAATTTGTAAGCTAGACATGTAAAGAAATTAAGATAGAATACAAGAACCTACAAGAAACCTAAGAGAATTAAGTACTTTCCAATCCTTTGACAGGATAAGAGAGAATACTCAAAAAAGAAGTAAGCATATTTAACTCATTTTCCCCCTCCACTTTCAAAAATCAATTAAAATAAATATAAATGATCATCAAATCTCACTCAATGGTTTGAGGCACCAATCTAATTAACGCTATTCTCGACAATTGGACTGAGTTAAGCAGAAAGGAACCAACCCACATTTTGGAAAAAATTGAGTTATGAGTGGTTTTGAACTCAACCACTGCTCTAGTATCTATCGCCAAAAATTCAAAGTTTTTGTTGGAGCAAATTTTGCAGAAATTGAACTTGAAGTTTATTTTTTACATTGAGTCTTATGCAGGAGCCAAACTTTAAACCTCTTTTTCTCGGTTCGATCCCGATGTGGCTTGGTTCCTTTCTGTTTAACTCCGTCCAATTATATTTCTCTTTCATTACAAGCCATTATTTTCCTCAAAAACATGCATTACACTAAGACACGCTTTGCAGAGAGAAAATTGACCAGGACATCATATTTTACCAAAAGGGGAAGAAATAAATTACTGATAATATTTTACTGAGAACTGAAAGAACTAACACTTATTCCTTGTGGCTGGAAAAAAATAAAAAAAATAAAAGAAAAAAAATATTGAAGCAGAAAGAGGAAAAGTGAGTTAAAATGCCCCTCTATATCAGGACGGTAATTCACAAAAGGAAACATTACAAATACACAGAATATACATAACAACTATTTTCTGTCCAGCAGAACATTTTTGGAATTGTAAGATTTCATCTGTATGGGGGAAAATGGATCCTACGGTTTTCTTGCAGGACATTTTGCTTGACCATTATGCCAGTCTACATTTTAAAGACAGTTAGAAAAAATTGCAGGATGAATATTTTTCTAACTCTCAGAAATTAAAACGCATTGGAGTTTGATGGTCAAAGTGTGTAACAAATTTTTAATTTAATATTACAAATTTACGAGTTCTGGTGAGAGAGTAAATTTGGACTGACTTACAAGGATTAGGCAAGAGAGAGATGCGTATTTGAAATGAGCAGTGCAAAAAGGTGCAAATGGTGGCTGGATATTTGCTCTATAAAGGACAATAATACTCATCATAACACCCAGAATGTAAGAGGCTCATAAGTGATATAAACGTCGTTTCGATTATGCATAAAACAGGTGAATTTTGCGAATGGTTTAGATGAAATACTACCGTGAGAGCAAAAGTAAAGAAAGGTGACGAAAAAAGAGGAAAGAAAGAGAGGGAAAGAGAAGAAAAATTTCATCCAGCAGAAAAAAAAGAAACAGAGGAGATGTTTTTTCCACTGAATTATTTAAAACTAGTCCATTAATAACACAAGCATTTGATTTAAAAAAAATATGTATAGATAAATTTACAGGGGGGGTAAAATACATTTAGAATGAGTTTGTGAAGAGCTGAGGGGGGGGGGAGGGCAAGTGGGCAAAAATAATAGGTGAGATTAAGATAGAATTATAGCTGAAGCAAAGAGAGAAATGCCACAAGACACCATTGAATAAATCGACACAATCCACATTTCACAACCTTGGTTGATTTGCTAATTCTGATAATAATCCTTATCAATTTTGGTTGATAATTAATAGTAAAAGACTCAGACTTTTAAAAGATTTGTTTATTTCTCACTTGCGAGTTTGTTACCTACAATCTGCCTTCCATATAACAACAAAGAGCTACACTATAGAATATTTATGTTACAAGGTGCAGTGCTTAAATTTACAATTCATACAAAGAGGATGAACAGAGAGAAGAAAAAAGCAAACCAAGTTATGAGATTTAGATGCTTCCTTGAGCTTGATCGCTGAAGAGACCTTTTGCTGATAGCATAACTATGAGGATTCAATTTTCACCGATCAACATGAATAATTTCTGTAAAGGTTAGTTGTTCACTTGTAAATTTTCTCTCCTCTCTTTTATCTAACAAACAACGTTGTCAAACGATTCATTTTCTTATGCCATCATAACCAAGTCACTTTTTTCAATATGGGAAAATTCTGTTGCTATGTTTCAAAATTACCACTAACGTTTTGATTAAAAAAGGTATCTATAGACAATTAAGTCCAAATTCCAACTGAAAACTTCTATGAAATTTTGAAACGCCTAATTGTTGTCAAATTTTTGTAATAGAATTTTTCGAATTCATGACAAAGCAAGAAAAGATATCTGTGATTGAAAGCAATTTTAAAGCATAGCGATGAACTTCTCCCCTTTTGTAGGAGGACATCTCAGGTAAGATATGTAAGCCTGGGCTAAAAATCACACGATTCTCTGATGTACATGAAAGGATATAATTTTTCAAATTATAATGACAGATTAATAACACATTTACCTCTCGGCTTGTAAAATTGGGAAAAAACCAAATTTATAACCTTCAGTAACTATGTGAACTAAAGTTTCGTTCTCTCTTTCGGTTTATGGATTCTCATTCAAAGGGTTTACAATAATTAAAACCTGCAAGAAATAGAGGTGAATCAAAAAATATAGGCTATCATGTAATAACATCAACTGATTTGAGTCAATCTTTTTAGGAAAATCAACGTTTTCCTAATGAATAGAGAACTAATATTGGAGATGATAAGTGCCGGTTCCAGCTTGTAGCTTCTGCATTGAAAGTGATTTAATGAGTTGTGACACATGGATACTCTTTTAATCCATTATTTTGCATAAACTAAAAAATCCTTAAAATATACATTTAATGAAAGATAAAGTGCAGTAAAACTTAAACAAAAAATTGTTGAATGCATCCGATTTTCAAATAATCATGACTTGGCTACTTAAAATTATTGCAGAGGCAAAATAGGATAAGAGTAAGGAAGAAAAAAAGGACACAATACTGCAGACCAGGGTGGAGGACACATCTGAAAAGAAAGGCTGCACGGACTTGCTGGGAAAAACAGATTTTCGTTTCAATAATGACAAAATATAAAATTCAAATGTTAAGATTTGAACCATCGGTGTACGATCAAAAATTTATTAGGTAGGCATTTTGTGAAATGCATTAAGAGTACCAATGTAAAAATACGCCCATAAAAATTGAAAACAAAGAGGTAAATAAAAAAATAAATTAAAACAAAGAGACGCAAATTTTGCATTCTTGCACTAATATATACAGTAAAACGCGTCAAGAAGTTTGTCATCCGATGAAAAATCAAGATTATATTCAATTTAACTCTTGATTGATTTCAAGAAAATCTCGACGAAAAGCCACTTTGATACTAAAAACTTCATCTCTGTCCTTCAAAGCCAGTGAGGAGAAATTCTTAACCTGCGGATGTTCATTTAAAATCAGTCTTAGAAAAATAATGTATAACTTCCGACAGGGCTTTACTGCATATCAACTATTTCAAACAAATTGGACCTCGATGGACTTTTTGAAACATTCGTCGCAGAGATTGCAAGAAAAGAATTTACAAACAAACAATCTAAAAAGAAATAAATTGATAAAGGGATTGTTCTAAAAACGAGAAATTCGTTAAAAACGAAAAACAGTAGAAAATGGCAAAAACAGAAACCGCATGCTTGTCTCTCCGAGGTCTGTCGGCAGACAATGTAACAAGTCCATTGAGGTTCATTGAGAAGAAATCGTCATTGCAGAGCTAGCAAGAATAAGACATGAAAGTAATGGTATACTATTACACCTAAGGAAACACTCACAGGAGAGAAAAGCCAGTTGGCAACTGACCGCTTTAAATGGCCAGCGTTGAGTTATCCCACTCTAAGTCTTTGACTTTGCAGCTGCTTGCATGGGCGTCTTCCTCTTCTGATGAGTCTCCATCTTCATCGTGATAACTCGAGTTGTCGTCTGATGAGTTGTCATCATCTTCGTCTCCGTCATCGTCTTCATGTCCAAGACTTTTGTCTAAACTGCTCACACCTGAGAGTTTTCCACCACTCCCATTGATTTGCTGTATGGACAAAAAAGAAGAAAAAAATTATGACAACCCACTGAAGATAAATTAAAACACCATAATCTCTTCAATCATTCCTTTCCTATGCTTTTAGTTTAAAGCGAATCTCTGAACCTTTGGTGCTATCTTTATATTCTTTGTGAACTTTCGAAAATTTAAGACATGTTCGCGTTTCTGCACTAAGTAAGGTCTTTGAACTAAAATAGAAATAATGATGGAAGAGCGGAATGAAAATATTTTAAACCAAAGTTTAATTGATGATAAAAATGTATTCAGAATTAAGTAATGTGGTTGGACTCAGATCTTACATGATCTCTTCAGCTCTCTCATTCATAACACTTAATGGGCCTGTTATAAACTTTTGCTGGAGCAAAAATAAGAGTTGTTCTTATAGATAATGTCTCAAAAATTACGATGAGCGCATTGGCAAAGTCTGAAATGCACTCCTAACTTCATCATCTGCGTAATAAATTTGAATTATTTTAAGCTTCCCGCTTCAAAATGGATACTGCAGCACAGGTGAACATTTCATTAGAGGAGTCGTTCCATTCAATCCCTGCTTAACATGGCCGACGCTTCAGCGCGCAAGTTGCGGAAAGCACGAGGTCAATCAAGGCGGATATCTATCAACGCGAGAAAAATGTGAATGTAAACACGCCGATTGTTATCAGGTGGTTAGAATCATCGTCCCGTCACAAGTGTTTTGGCGGATTGACGTCGGCTATGTTGAATATTGCGTAGTATCCTTGTGAGCAGGGGTTGGATGGAATGACTCCTCTAACAAAATGTTCACCTGTGCCATGGTATCGGTATAGAAGCGGGAAGCTTGAAAAAATGAAAATTCCTGCATTTCAGACTTTGCCGATGCGCTAATCGTCATTTTTGAGACATTATCTATGAGTAACGACTCTTATTTTTGTTCTAGCAAAAGTTTGCAACAAGCCCATTCTAGAGCTGGAGTGTTTTCACGCTTTTCATAGGCACAGTTGCGGAAGCAAATACGAAAGGAACGTACCTCCATCGGATTAACAGTTATTGTGAGAGCTGAGTCATCCCAAGCCATCTCAGCATCTGCGATTTCTTCTTGAGTGGCTCGATGATGAGCTGAGTGAATTCTGAGTGCTCCAACTACCATTAATAGTAGTAAAAATCCAACACAGACAACCAACATGACAGTGACAACATGAGCTGAAACATTCCAAAAATATTCAGTGAATCACATAGAGGTAAAAATAACTCTCCCTTTTACTGCATTTTTCTAAAATTCATGATACTACACCTTTGAGGATACTATGCTTTCTGCGATTATTGCATGGATGAGGGATCATCTGACTCAGTGACAGAATTTAAGATATTATAAAAAAGAAGGAAGAAAGCAGGAAAAATTGAACGGATTTGACCAGAATCTGTCTACTACATCAAATTGGGTCGCTAAAAAAATTAATGAAAAATGAAAATCAACCTAACATATTTTTTGACAGTGCCTACCATTATTAAAATCTTACTTTCAGTATTTTAGGGATTAATATTTTACTTACATCCTCCAACAAAAGCTGGACTGGCCGAGTGATCTGATGAGATTGACTCCAAGTAGTGATTAACTATGGCGTGAGGGGTCAACTCAACTTGATGAACCGCGATTTGAGCATGTGCTGGATAAACAGCAGCAATCGTTTCTGGGGTTGCACTTTCTTGAGCTGTGCTTGCCGATACAACTCTGGGATGTATGACCGTCAACTGAAAAATCCATACTTCAAGTTACACAAGATAGATTCAGCTAGACAAGCGCTGTCCAATAGTTACTCATCTTGATAATTGATTGAGCAAAAGCAAGTAAAAATGAAAATAAGACAAAACATTCTCAGGAGGTAAACAAATATTCTTTGTCGTAAATGATAAAATTGTTATCAAACATGGTTAGGAATTTTGGAAAAACATTTCACAGAGTGTATTATTTCATTTTGCACACAACTTTTTTGGAGGAATATGACATCTACCTCACTACCTTGACAGTGGTAATAAAAACAGAAATAATAGGATTGTGAAATTTGCTGTAGAATGATGCTGAAGGTGTAAAAAAAGAGACAAATGCAAATTTGTAAAGGAAAATACTTACCGTTTGAACATATTCATTGCTTAAGAATCGTCCGTTCATTTCTGAGCAAACCAATTTGAACACTCTATTCAAATAGTAGGCCGGTTTTTGATTTGTGTACTGAATTTGCCGTAAAGCCTAATAACAGAAAACATAAAATTGTTCAGATGTCAGATCAAAAAACCTTTTAATTTAAATGTTCATAAATATTCCGGCCGACTAGCCGACCGAGATTACTTTCAACCAAAAGAGTTGATAAGGCCACTTATACCTTGGAGGTTTATCCTGAATTGCATTTTCAAAACTTGCAGAATATGGGTGGCCTTGATTTTATCCAGACGACTATGCAAAATTACAACTAGTCTGGTTTGCAAAACCTAGTTTTGCCTCAGATAATAAGATAAACTTGGTACAGTTTGTCAAAACTATTCCATGAGGTACTGACATCTATTTGAGAGGAGTAATAAAAACTCTACACCAAATGAATGAAATGTCGACACTTAGGAGCACACTTTTAGTATAGCTTTGTCCTTCCATATCATCCTTACATCACCTCCGGCTGAAAACGCTGAAGTAAGAAGCTATTATTTCTGAAACGTAGAAAATTATTTAACTGATGAGACTTACTTCTTCATAGTTGTAAAGTAGATCAGATCCTGACAAGGTAGCACCATCCTTGCTAATTTTTGCGGATATTTCAAGTTGTGTGAGAACTTTATCGGGTATGGACATGGTCTCATGGTCTGGATTCAGTGATGGGTACACAGAAACAACGCATGAGTCTAATTTCTTATCGCCTATTGATTCACCTGAAAATAAAATAAAAAATAATTTATAAATGGTTTCTATTTTTCCCCTCTTCTTTTTAGCAAGAACTAATGACTAACTCCTCGAAAAATCTTATTTTTTGGTCTATTGTTGACAATTTTATTAACTGAAAGAAGGGTATTGCAGATGAGAAAATAGGGTAAAATGTTTGTACTTTCAAAGTGAACTTGTTTCAAATTGAAAAATTATAACACAGTAGGCTTATACCTCTAGAAAAGCCTGATTTCAAAGCGCCAGCATGAAGGATCATGCAGCAGTCCCTTGTTTACTTCACATTACAGTGCAAAGAATGAAAAAGAAAAAAAATTAAGAATGATTAGCAATTATTTACTACTTACTGTGTTTCCAACTACTGATTGTTGGTTGCATAGTTATGTGCAAGTCGGTGAAAACACGGACTCCTTGCCTGAAGTCATGGTATTCACGTGCAACACTTGTTGTACCTACAATTGTAATGCTGGGCTGCTGAGCTTGCAAAACCATTACGTAGCTTTCTACTGGAGGGATTTTCAAAGGGTGATTATGTTCACATCTGTAAAATTTCAATAAATATCATTTTAATTCGTTTATTCGATTTATTGAAAAACGCTGGATTTGTAAAACAGCGAATTCAATATTGAAAACAGAAACAGTAGTGTTTGAGCACTGCATAACACTTTTTAGTGGTTTATTGTAAATCTAATTTAATTAATTTATTTTTTTCAACTGCCCTCTTCATTACGAAGCGACTGTGACAAAAATACTGGACAAGTTTAATCACAGGGGGAGAAAATGTCACAAGTGTACTTCTAACCTCATGCCCCTTTGGGTCTTCACTTTGCCTTGAAAGTGAAACAATGTTCAGGCTCAGCTGATGAAATTATAAATTCAAAATTTTAAAAACCAGGAGAAGTTAAACTTCTTGGCAGATTAGTTAAACAAAAAATAAAAATGACAAATTAAGTTTGAAGAGCAGAACTATAGGCTATGTTCAATTTGTTCCTTTAACTTAATTGTTTCATTCGTTAATTTAAAACTTTTTGAATTTGAAGGCCGTGAAGAGAAAGAAAAAACCAAGAATATGATCCTTAGTGTATGATTGGAAAATTAAGGTTAAAAGACAGGTTAGAGGTTGAGGTAATATTGGACTAAAAATACTTACATAATACTTGTGGTAAGACGCAGGTTCCGTCTGCCAGGTGTTGGGAATTCTCTTGAATTTGCATAACCTATTTTCTTTACAAGAACTTCTAGATTTGTGAGATTATTTCCCTCTACAGACAAATCAGTTAAATCTGAAACAACAATATTAAAATTCTGACTCCATTTTGTAACTATAAGCAGGAATTTTTTTTTCATTTCAAAACATGAGTTTAAAATGTCTAAGCTTTCGTTACTTGTGGAGGATTCACGATTTACAGATTCAATTGAAGTAAATTAAAGAAAAAAAATTACTGTCATTAAATTGAGCCACATCTGGCCAGGACACTAACACACCAACAAGAGGACAGGACCAGTCTAGGAGGTGCACCGGCACCACAGTTACATCTAACTTGCTTTTAAATTCCATTAGAATAGAAAAAAATTAATACAATTTTCTCGTTACATTTTTAAAGAATTTGTTTTCTTTTTTATTCTTCTTCAGGATCTTATCCTGTAAAAAATTAGGCTTTGTCTGGCTTCCTCATACAAAATAAAAAAAACCTTGAGAGAAATTATATTTGCCAGCTCGAATTTTGTTTTCCACATTGCACGAAGTCTACTTCGTGATGAGTTTTTGAAGTATTTCAAAGGAGTTAGAATTCATTCTTGAGGGAAGAGTAGTGCTTCATTAGAGCAAATTATTTTCATTTACTCCATTTCTATCAATAAAAGCTAAATTATCTTACCACTGTTCGTTAAAAGTTCCATTCCAGGTTCAAGGAGTTCCATTGCTGGTACTTCCAAGCTTTCTTTACATTTGTGTAAACAGGCAAGAACGTGTGGTTTTTCAGTTTGGCCAAGTAAAACGGAGAGTCCAGCCAAATATCCTCGTAAATGATGTTTCATTTTGTTTTCTGAACCTGTGATGAGAGAAGGAGGATGATTGTTAAACTAATTGTAATCTGCTAGAAATCTATACTAAATATATGCACTGATTCTCATGCTAATTAATGTAAGAGGTCAATTACCTCTAAGTTACTGATGATAATGCACATCTTGAGAGAAAAGCAATCGTATAGAGGGTGAAAAAAATGACGGTAGTAAAAAAAAATACAAATATAAATAAATAAAAAAAACATCAAAGTCATTGTGAATTGAAAAATACGAACGATAGAGGGGCATACCTAAAATTTTCAATATGTAGAATTTTAAAAAATCCTTTGAAAGTAACTTGCTTACATTTATAGATAATTTTCAACAAAATTCCTGTAAAATTTAAAAATTGACAAGCCAAGTCCTTCACACTGGTCCTTCACTTCCAGTCTTTAATGGAGAATTTGCACGCAATTTTTTTATTGCTTCATCTGAAAGTGCCTAATGAGCTGAGTTCGCAATATTTTTCATAATTTTTTTCTGACATGGGAAATTGGAGAAAAATTGATTTAAAAGTGAGAAAATGCGCCGCCTTGTGACGTCATCTGGCGGCATTTCCCATTTAAACACATGTATTTTAGCAGAATCGGTTATTTTGTCATATCTCCTCTAATAATCGCTCAATTTATGAATCAAGGGTATCTTCGTGTTCAGTTCACTCAGAGGATTCCACTTAAACAGGAAATTCATCAAATTTCAGACCCTTGCAAATTCTCCATTTTGGCCATAAAATATTAGGAGGCAAAAACAGGCATATAATTTTGAAAAAAGGATCTCTAAACTTTCGTCAGAGCTTTTGACCACTTTAAGTTCAGTTCAAAAATTAGGCTCATCTTACAAACTAATAACTCTTTTTTGGGTTACTTAGAGGTTTTAAAATCACTTTACCTTGCCAACAAGCACCAACTGTCAATGTGGTGTTGATATCTTTGGTAGGGTGTAGAGGCCAGTCATCGATTACTTCTGGATTCTTCTTCTCCGATTTAAAGAGAGAGCCATCAACGTACAGTTGGACTTCAGGAAATTGGACGGAGACCGCATAGTGATGCCATTCATTATCACACACCTGATAACAGATAAATTTAAGATCAATGAAAAGTTCTGACAAGCTGATATAACAGATATTATACATTAGTGTCTGGTAAATTTTCTTTTGCTTTTCCTTGAGCATTTTTATTAAATCAAAGAAACAAAAATAAACTAAGCTCAACGCAAAATGCTGGACTGGATTGGTGGGGACTCAAATTTTACAGGAAATTCACAACAAACTGGGAAAGAGCGCTGTGGGGCTTAGTACTAAAGCGCTATGAAGTTATGAAAAGAATCACACTTTTTCACTTCACAACTTTTCTGGCTATGCCTTTTCTCTCCCTGACCAATTAGGACTTCTGACTTTCCCAGTTCTCCCAGCCGCTAGACAGCCAGGACGTTTCATTTCAAATGATTAATTATTTCTTGATCTTTTCGGGAGGACACCTAATTTCTTCACTGAAAAAATTCTAAAATGCCTCCGAATGAACAAAACTGATCTGATTTCATCAAATTAAAATAATGGAAATTACTAATTAGCTGGAATTTGTCAAAAATAAACTAATAATTGAACAGTTTTAACTGTAATCATCCTGATTACATTCCATGTTGCCTAACTTTCTCTCAAGTTTCATTTTTTTAACAGAGAAGAAAATTACACAGCATCTTCCAAACTTTCTATGAATTTACCCCAGATTATGAAGAATATACTCATAAAATTTCAAGTTTCAGTGCTGCTTGGTTTTCTGTTTAAATAATAAAACATCAGAGCGAAGTGGATGTCTTCTGATATAGTTAGGCTATTTCTCATTGAATCCTTCTGATTTAGAAAATGAGTAAACCAACAAACCTGCGGTAACTTCCATCTCCATTCAGCAGGGCGGAAAATATTCAGATCACCGTCAGATAGGTCTCGACGGAGCAGAAGGATCAATCTGCAGTTGCGCACAAACAAGGCATAATGATGTCTGTTCATTTCTAAAATAAAGGAAAAAAAGTGGAAACATTAAAATTGAGTAGGATTCCAGTAATGAGTGATTGAAAAACAAGATTTTTATGCAGATGCACTCAAGAATAATATTGTTTGAAGAATGTGATTCACAATGAAAGGTGGTTGTCAGTGGCGTGGCGTGAATGATCGATTATCGATATTTCCCCATTGGAATCCGTGGTAAAGAATCGATTATTAAGGTGTTCGCAGCGAACACCCTGTTAATCGATCCTTTTCCATAGGTTTAAATGACAGATCAATCGATACATCGCAAAGCACGCCACGCCTTTGGTGGTTCTTGGATGAAAATTTCTCGGTTAGGACTTTTTTCATATGTTAGAATGCATAAAATCAAAAGATAAATTTCAAAGTAACCTTGTTTGGTAAGGGGCTCAAAGTCAAAATATTTATATAATTTGAAGATATGAAAAAAACTAAAATTATGGAATGGCCAAAAGGCTGAATAATAATAGTTTCTGACTTTGAACAGTGAGGAGTTTACTTAATTAGATATATAGTTATTTACATAATAAGAAAAAAAAATCCTCTGAAATAAAATATTTTTGTTGCTGATCATTTCCAATATTAGTTCATATTTGTGCACTATGATATACGATTTTTCCTTTGACTTCCGAATTTAATTAAAGTATAAGCTATAATTTTTAGCCAACTATTGTTAATCAGTTATGTGACCTGTTAAAATAAGATTATACGCCCTAATGCAGATTCTAGTGCATTAAAGAAAATTTTATTGCCTGACTTCGAACAAGGGGTTATCTTTGAGTAAAGAGTGAAGGTGAGCGATTTATTTCATTCTTAGCCTCCCTCTCCCTATAATCACTCTGGGTGTTGAAGAAAATAAATAAAATCCCAATTTTCACGTACCATAGAGTTTCAGTTTTGCTGTCATATTTTTGCAAGGGTGCTTCAAGTGAAAAGAAGTTTCTTGGTTGATTTTAACTTTTCATTCTTGAAATGTTCAAGAAAAAAATTGAGAAAAATTAAATATGGAACAAAGTGTTATTATGACCCAAGCTGGCAAAACTTGTCAATAAACATTAAGGAATACATACTGTGGTCATCTGCGGAGCAAAGAATGTGTTCTTTGGCATGCTTGTCCAGGTGAGGTTGAGATTTGTGTTTCATCCATGTTGATATTGTGAAAGTAGAAGCGAGACCATGATTTAGTACGGTATTAGGAATGGCCACTGCAGATGATACACCATCAAATTCGTACATTTCATCACTGTCACGACCGTCATCCACAGATAAAGTCTTGGTCCACTCTCCGCTGTTTAACAACTCCACACTTTCACTGCTGGCACCTGCGGTGAAAAAAGCAAAAATAAGTTGTAGTAGAAATTACCAAAGAATATTAGTTCTGCTGAAACAGGGACAGCTCAATTATATATGTTGCATATTACTCTTGATTGAGATAAAATCCGTTTATTTATACTTTTGAGTACTTCAATTACCTTGGATTGACATAGTTAGTAGGAAAGTTAGGAAAATGGCTTGGCACTGAATAAATGAAACTTGAGGTCATAACTACTGCTTGAGATGCAGATTTCTAGGCATTTTCCCCCTTAGATGAAAACATATTAGTGTGTACTGCTATAAAAACTATAATCTATCGAAATATTTTTAAAAAATGCATGCCTGCAAAATAAGAGGCATCATCAGATTTGGAGAAACAAAGTATTTGAAACCCACGTCCATGTTATGATACATGGAAAGAAATACAACAATTAAACATACCACATAATTTACGTTGATTCTGGACAGAATATGTGTCACGATCACAACCTTTGCCAATGTGAGAGGTAGACAATGTTAACTTTGACTGGACATTGGTCACATTGCATGGGACATCACAAAGTTTTAATTGGGCTGCCGGAAATAATTCTCCTTTCCCTGATCCAGGCGCGTAATCGACCCTTTCAGGAATGCCTGTAGAGAATAGAAAAAAAAATATTATTAAAATTCTGTATAGATAATGTGAAAAAAGTAAATTACATGCCTTGATTGTCTACGCATTGTACACTGCATGATTGACAGGATGCATGACAGCTTCAAATAAATCCTTCTCACAAAATCGTGAAATCACTGCTATTGCCAATAATTGTAGCGAGGCTTTGGGACTAGGTCAGTACTTTTTTGTCTGCTTTAAAGTGGAAACTCACATGTTTTCTTTCATGAGGATTTCTTTTCGAAACGTACATTAACATCAAATTCTCTCATATATCCTAGTTACGATCAAAGGACTCTGTAATATGATTCAAAATGGAATTGAAATACTTCTCACGCATTAAGCATCTTCACGGCCTCACTCAATTTTTTCTTTTAAAATTGAGCCTTTTTATGCAGAAATAAACCTCGTTTCAAAGGGTGGTACCTAGGTACCATGGTCCGTACATTTATGTTCAGATAGGTACATTTTTTTTGAAAATTCGAAATAGCAAGTGCAAATTAAGTTACCTTTCCATCCCAATTTACAAATCCGATTGACTTTAATGGTGACCATGATTGGAGCTGACTGTTTCATTCCGCAGTCATATGCCACAACTGAGAGGATGTGATTGTGACTCTTTTCATAGTCTAACGGATCAGTATTCCGGATTATTCCTGAAATGAAAAAACATTTATCAGTTCAAATACTCCGGAAATATAATGAAAACTGATCAAAAAAGTGAGTTAAGGATATTAAAAACCTCTTTATTTGAGATATTTTTTAAAAGTAACCATACATGAAATATGAGAAGAAAAAAAAGGAAACGGAAAAAATACAGCGAAGTCATCAGCTGCATCATGAATATGTAATGACGTCGTTAGCTGAATCATGAGAGAGTGAAATTCGTTCGCTTGTTTCGGTCGGGGAGATGTGGCAAAATTTTAAAAATCCGAAGAAAACTTTCTTGGACCCAAGTTCGACGAACGAAGATCTTTGCGAGTANTGGGGGGGGGGGGGGGGGGGAATTACACGTTCCCCTCCTCCCCAAAATATGACAGGACATGGAAGTAACTTCGTAGACTCTTAGACGTCGTAGACTCAGCCCAAAAAATTGTCGACTTCTTCGTTTTTGACATATCTTTCAGTAAACCCACTTTCCGAAAATCGCAATGACATAGCTAAAAAAATTTCATGGGGGGAGGGGCGAATGAAGATCTTTGCGAGTAGTGGGGGGGNGGGGGGGGGGGGGGGGGGGGAGAGTTACATATTCCCCATCCTCCCCAAAATATGACAGGACATGGACGCAACTTCGTAGACTTTTTTATCTTAGCCTAAAAAATTATGGACTTCTTCGTTCATGACATATCCTTCAGTAATCCCACTGTCCGAAAATCGCTATGACATAGCTAAAAAATTTCATGGGGGGGGGGGTTGTCAAAAGGTACGACATTTCTGAAAATCTGGAAAAATAACGTTTTTCCGGGGGAAGTTTTCAGTCATGAATGGCGGCTCGGGTGCACGAATCGTTGAGAAACTGACCTTCGCTGTCGATGGAGAAGGGCTGATCGCGGGTGAGGATTTTGTACTCGCAAATGTCGCCGAACTTGGGGTTGCAGTCCCTGTCGGTGGCCTCGACTTGGACGATCTCCTCGTAGAGACGGCCCTCGTCCACCTGCCGCACGTAGGCCGGCTCCAGGAACGCCGGCGCGTACTCGTTGATGTCCTCCACGTTGATGTGAACCGTCGCACTACAACAGAAAAGAATAAAGCCCATCAGCAATCGGATGAAAATCTTCACTCAACAATACGAAAGTCCAGGTTTGGGAAAAGAGGGCATAGGCGGATCCAGCAAATTGGCAACATTGTTTTTCTCCATTTAACCCAATTGGGAATGTATCGATTCTAGGAGGGGCCAGGTGCTCCGACAAGAGTCGATTTTTTTACATAGGTTTAATGGAGGAAATCCGGTGTTGCCAAATTGCTGGATCCACCTATGAAAGAGAGGTATCTATTCTCAAAACACACCCTGGAGACGCCATCCGTCATTCCAGAGGGTATGGATTCCATCGACATTCATCAATTGAAAACTCGCTAGTTAATGAAAAACTCCAGTGTCGATTCAATGGATGGTTGATTAAAAAACCCTGTGTCGATTCAGTCGACATGAATCGATCAAAAACAAAAACGTGAGCTGATCGGCAACGACTCGATCGACAACCCTGTGAATCGATCGACAAACAGGTTATCAATTGACAACCCCATGAATCGATCGACAACACTGTGAATTAATCGAATTGGGTCGATCGTCTTGGTGACGACTGGTTCGCGTTTTCATTTTTTGATCGGTGTACATGTCGAACGAAACAAAACATGGTTCTTTCTTCATTATTTGGACGTATTTGAATCAAAATGAACTATATCCATTTTGACATGAGCCCTGTTATGTATGCACTTTTATGGATCTCAGGGCTCATGTCAGAGTGGATATAGTTCCTTTTGATTTACGTACGTCCATACGTCGATCGAGTCGGTGTCGAGTGGTTCACGGTTTTTTGCTTTTTGATGGATTCACCTTAAAAAAGGGGGATAAAATGCAGCGACGTCGCTGTTTGCATCGTGAAAGGGTGGAATTCGTTCGCTTGTTCAGGTCAGGAAGTGGACAAATTGCATCGAATTTTGTCGATCGAATCACTGTATCGGTTCACGTTCTCATTTTTTCGATCTATTCATGTCTATCGAATCCATACCCTCCGTCATTGCTTGCACCAAGCCCCTTGCATTTCGAAAGAAACAATTTCTCACACGTCACGAGGATGGAAAATTGAAAAAAAGCAGCTGCGCCGCGCCGCCGGTAGGTCAAAGGCAGATAAAAGAGCGAGGGGGGGGAAGGGGGGGGGAGAGAAAGAGGTTCAGAGTGAAGAGCTGCTGCGGCGCTGCTGGCAAGCACTGCAGCAGCGAACTCGGAGAGCACATTCTTGAGAAGAATAAGTGAACGAGATGGACAAGGTAAAAGGTTGCCTGAACAAGGAACAAGGATCGATATGGGTTGTGATCCGCGTGGCGTAGTGCGCGGGTTCGTTCGAGATAATCGATGTATCGACATTGGAACATCCAAGGGCTGTCACTCCTCGAGAGGTAGATAAGAGGGAGGGGGAGAGAACGAAAATGAAACTATTAAGTCTATTGATTTCTCTTTCCGTTCTTAATAGTGACATGAGCCTGGATTGAGTTTCAGCGCTGAAGCTTGGCCTTAAACGCCGAGCCAGACTACGGCGCAGCTGACAATGAGATCCGCATCCACGAGGGACCTGCAGACGGGGCGACGAATCGTGACGCTAGATCGTCGCTTGACTGAAAAAGGGCGTAACTGCACATTGAGATGAGCCCGGGAAAGCGTTGATTTTTATGGACGACAGGGTTCATGCCAGAGTGCAGTTACGTCCTTGAGTTAGGTAGGCGAAGAAATGTTACCGGAGGGAAGAATTTCCACTAAACGACTCTCGAACACGTACACACGTGCAGGGGACATTCGCTACCGGGTACCGATTGGGGGTGTAGCTAGGAATTTTTCATGGGGTGGGTTGCTACGACCATGGTCTAAAAGTGAAAAGTTCTTCAAATCAGCGGAAAACGTCACTCTGTGTGGGGGAAGGCGGTTCTATAGCCCTGGATAGACGATCAAATTCCCGAACCAATTCCGATCAAAGTAGCATCTAAGTGTCGGGAGTCATCAGTCTTATAAACTCGTTAATTTGCTTATTTTTAAAATGAAAACTTGGTAGAAATGTTTCCTTTGGTAGGAAATGATGAATGGTGGCGCTCCATTCTGATCTTACTTTGAACAAAATAGTCGGGGCCGTCAAAATTTGATGGTAGATGGTGGCCATCAGTCATCAGCATGTCTACTTTGATCGGAATTGGATCGGAATTTGATCGTCTATCCAGGGCTATAGTCTAAAAGTGAAAAGTTCTTCAAATCAGCGAAAAACGACACTCTGTGTGGGGGAAGGCGGATCTCTTAAGGTGTCTACTAAAACAGGCTGGCCAAAATCGGTACCTTCACAGTGCTTCTTCAGCACGCTTCCGAGAAATTCAGTACCTGACAAAAAAATGCATTACTTTTTCAGTACCTCCATGGGACGCAATACATAAGATTCCGAAAATTTGAATTTTCGCTCGAATTGAGACAAAAATTATGATGACGTAAAATTTCATTGATGGCTCGAAGATTGAAATTTGAGAATTTTCGAGGATGATTATAACTGTGCAGTCTTTTTCCAAAACGTTGTAATTTTTCATGTTTTCAGAGGGAAAATCGGTGAAATTTTCAGAGTGTAATCCGCAGCCATCAGTTAGGTACCTTCTTTCGTCTGGGGAGTGACAAGAACGGGACCATCAAAACTCGAGGCAAAAAGGAGCTCTGATTAAGAATTGGTTACACTTTGCGAAAAGCCCCGTTTGAAGTAAGTATGGATTTTAATTTGAGCATGGAAAATAAAAATCGTGTCATTAAAAGTTTCAAGAGGCAGTAGCGCGCGTCCTACTGCATTTCGTCGCCCCTCTGACGTAAAGGCGTACGTCGATTTTCACGTGAGCCCTGATTCGCTTTTAAATCTATGCTTTCTAGAGCTCATGCGGGTATCGAGATACGCCCTTACGTCAGAAGGGCGACGATTTTAAGGGTGGCGCAGCGCGGAGGGTACGAGCGCTCGAGATCGCCTTTTCGATGTCTCTTGCTCAACTTTTACGAGTGCATTCCTCGTAGCCAAAAGCATTTCATAATACTGAAGGTCCTTCGTTGCCAGTTACGTGTTTTTACCGTTCACTGTTCCGCCTAGCTAGAAAAGACCGCCGCACAGTGGATCAAGTCAATGGGAGAGGTTGGACAAAATTTGGAAACTTTAAAAACTTATAGCTCCGTATATACAAAACTTTGAGGCTTCCCCGTGGAATTGTCTTCTCGAAGCACCCCTTAAAATTTAAGATATGACGAAAAAACATCAAAATTAGCCGTTTTAGTCGACCACTGTGCGCCGTTTGAGCCTTCGACCAATAGCAGATCTCTTTCATTGAAATACGAGTTTTCTGCAAAAAAACACTGGAAAAAAAAAAACATTGGATCTAGAGTCCAGACTCTTGAAAACATTGACAAGAAAAAATACTCTTGATTCAATCGGATTTTTGCTTGAATCAAAACGAAATCCGCTTACATTAAGATGCTTGGTTCTTACTTTAAACTAGATTCTGATTAAATCAAGAGTACTTTTTCTTGTCGATGTTTTTAAGAGTCTGACTCTAGATCCAATGTATTTCTTTTCCAGTGAAGCGGGAATTCTCCAATTTTTCACAGAACTGTATTCGTAATTCGATCTGAAGAATATCTGAAAATTTCAAGAAAAAATATTCACAATTTTCTTTGGAAATTTAGACACATTAAGAGACATTATTTTCAAAGTGTCGCGAGCTCTAATAATAGTGAACCGGTCTGGGTCTGCCTTCATGGGGAAAAATTGGGCTCCTTAGGCATAGGGTTATTCAAAAGTCACGCACCGCTGGCCATAGCTTTAGTTCTAATTATGATATCGATTTGCGGTTTAAGACGCTTTTCCTCATATCGAGGGAGAAACGTTTTTAGGTAATTTCCAGTTTTTGATCCCCTAGGGAGGAGGGGGGGAGGGGCAACTCAAAAATTAAAAATGGCCCCCTCATGGCCAGTGGTGCGTGACTTTTGAATAACCCTGTATATCTAGCTGGATCTGGATGAATCGGAGTGGGTCTGGAAAAATACATTTTAAAGGGTACGACTATCTTCTTACACGACGGTTAATCTGCATGAAAAACTTGGATCTGATCAGTTTGATGAAATTCTTGAACCTACTATGACAGGAGCAGCAGGAATAAAAAATGGCGCAGAGCCCGTTTTCCTCATCTACCTAACAATTGGTGATAAATCTCTTTGGAGTGCTCCAGAACCGAAATCAAACAGCCTTTTGTTTCCTTGCGATTATCTCATTAATCAACTCCATTTTAGAATATTCCTACCGAGAATCGTAGAATTTTTGATCCCTGCAACGAATTTATAATCTGAAAAGGGCAACCCTGAATGGAATACCCAATACCATGCTTACTCCGAGACATTACTGATAATAATCTCCAAAATATTAATTAATTATAAAATTCCATTCACTTAGAAATTAAGAGGTTAGCTGGGAATGAAAACGAAGGTCAGGTCCACTGAACAAAGGTAAAGATTTCCATACATGGATTCGCATCATTGATTGAATTACTTTTTGTAATACTGCCGTGCTAACGAAGAATGCCGTATGAACATTCGAGAATTTCCAAATTTCCTACGATAAAGTATTTATTTTTGAAGAAAATCATATCCTTAAAATTTTCAGGAACTTTAAGAGAAATTGCGAACAAAATTACGTAAAAATTAGAATAAAGATATTTATATCAAAGGAAATTTGGCGACGCCTGGAGGTTCATTCGGCGTTCTTCCTTAGCACGGCGGAATAGGTATTAGGTAATTAATACTTCTAACTTTTTTTTCTTTCTTTTTTGAAAGAACATATGTGCCATCAGTTTCCTTAGGCAGGTGATTTTTTGGATAATGAAATGAGGTCCAATTCTAAAAGAAGAATTCTTGCGACACTTAAGGGTGAGCAACCCTGAGCGATGCGATTCTGTAATACTTCTACTTGCCAAGGCGATGCTGAAGAAGGAAACAAGCGTCGGTGAGAGG